CGACCGGGTGCATGTCAAGATCAGATAATCTTCCACGTTTTTGTGTTTTTGCACGTTAAGTTGTCCCGGGTCAAATCTGACCCGACCGGGTGGTATAGGGGACCCGACCGGGTCTGTGCAATTTCCAGTCACCTTCGTTTGTTAAATCTTGCCCGACCGGGTCAAATGTTTATGCCCGGTCGGGTTTCAGCTCCTGAACAGTCCAATTTCCTTTTGCTTCACTTCAAAGTCCTCCTTTTTAACACCATAATGCCTAATTCTACTTTACAACCCACAAATGGGGATTAAAATACAATTACAATTAAAATCAAACAAATGTTCTCAAATTACTAAAACGGTAAACAATTCACACAAATCAAACATAAAAACAAACATTTATGCACTACTAATTAGTGCATATCAAACATCCCCACAGTTGAATCTTTACTCGTCTCGAGTAAATGCAATCTAAGGAGTCCTCAAATGATAAGATCATCAACCATCACATGTCATTTTTAGAACAAAATAATCACAAAGTATCCCTAACATACAACAAAAAATATCAAGGGATCTTCAATTTCTTTTTCCTCATGCAACGAACTCTCTTTAGTAATAACCCTTAGGATCCAGAAAGATTCTCCCCCCGTGCTAGTTCATGGCACTGTCCCTAGTGCCCGCCCGCATCGCCGCCATCATAGAATCCTCCATAGCCATGATAGCCCCCGTAAGGTGTATCCTCATCCATGTGAACGATTCCATCACCAGGACTTGGACCGCCAAAATATCCCCATTCAGCGGGATTATACCAAGAGGGTGCACGAGGAGGAGTGGTCATAGATGCAAAGTCACCCTGATGTGCTATGTAGGAGTAGATAGGGCCATAAGTCCTCCTCATGTCTTCTTGATCTCTCTGTCGGTCCTCCTCATACCACTGCCAGTCTCTTTGTCTCTGCTCCTCTATCCTCTCGAACCTCTGTTGTTGTTCAATTCTATATAGTCCAACATCTTCGCGAAGGTTGGTATAGTTGAGGTTGAGGGAAGCCATGCTATTGAGCAGTTCTTGCTCAAATGGTGAAAATTGGTGAGCATTGGGTTGTGGCTGGGGTTGTGGTTGGGGTTGTTCGGGTATGAGGGGTGGAGGTTCAAGTGCGGCTTGATCATGGTGAGGTTCCTGTGGTTGATAATGGGGTGGTATTCTACCGGGGAGAGTAATGATGCCCATCACCGATTTGGTGATTCAAAAGGTCCACGGGGAGGTCAAGTGGGGGTAATCGGAAAAAAATGTCTTCAGGTGGGTCGATTAACCAGTTGTAGAAGTTAACCCCCCCCCCCCCCCCCCCCCCCCGGGTGTTGTGTGAGAGAATTTTACATCTTTGGTATTCTCCATAAGCCATTTTCTGCAGACAAGTTGTTTTGTGGTAATGGGGCCGGGGTCTACAAAACCATATAGTGTGGCCAAATGTGTGATTAAGCCTCCCATCACAATTGGCCCTGTGGAAGTTGCCACTTTGTTGAAGTGAGTCCACAGAATAGTGGCAACATCCACCTGATCCGGGCCTGGTAAAATAGCTTGTGAGAGAACACAAACATCCCATATTCTTGTGTGATGGTTATTTGGTCTTCCGAGAAAAAAGTTTGATAAAAATTTCAAGAATATTAGGAAGACCGGATGTTGTACACGATTCACACTAAGATGACGAAAATAAACATCTACCTGACCTGTCATCCTTTGTCATAACTCTACACTCACAAAAGTGTCATAATAACGGTCTTCATCAAACAAGGGGAGGCCAAAGTGTTGGGTGAACTCCCGCTTGGTCAATGAATGCTCCTCATTTAGCAAACGAAAGTTGATTGTGCTTTCAGCATGGTCATCAATATTTGTAGTTTGCACAAATGAACTAAAAAATTCATATACCAAGTGTGGGTAGGTAACATATTGCATTTCAAATACCCTAAGCATTCAAGCATTTGTGAACAGTTCACGCATAATGGTATCAAGCATGAATGTCAATAGGGTAGTAAGGCAAATGAAACGGGATTGTTTTACCTCCCGTTTGGTTTGCTCTATGAAGCGCTGCTTTTGGTCCTCCGTGATGAAGTCCACATTCTCAAAGCCTTTCACGGGTGAGATGGACCTACTACCCCTTGAAGGATGCCTTTGATTTTTTTGAAGCCATGAAGATTTTTTTTTTTTGTTTTGACTTTTTTTAGAGTGATTTTTGGAATTTTGGTTGAGTGAAGCTTGGATGGTTTTTTATAGGTATGGTTTTGAAGAGGGTGATGAGGAGAGCAAGACTATGGTATTAGTTAAGGATTTGTGGCTTGAGTTCGGACCTTGAGTGCTCAAAAATGGGGATTTTCGAGCTAGAGGTAGGTTTTGTGGGTTTGATTGATTTGGTGACTTTGGGAGGGATTTATGTGTATAGGATGGAAGAGTGTGTAAGGGCGATGAAGAATATGGTGTTAATTGATGGATTTGGTGTGTAAATGGTGAGATTTCGAAGCTTTGAAGTTCAACAATGGAGGGTTGGGAGAGGTTTTGGTCGTGGGAAGGAAAGAAAATGGGGAAGAAGAGCTGCCCGCCCGCACCCTTATCGGGCGTTTTCCCGACCGCCCGGACGGGTATAGTGACTGACCCGGTCGGGCGTAAGCTGTTCACCCGAGACAGAGAGTTTTTGCTGGGTTGCCCGGCCGGGTATAGGGGTCTACCCGGTCGGGCAGTTGATTTATTCTTATTCTTCATTTGCCTCGCCCGGTAATAATCATATTGCGTTTCATGGCGAAATTACTGCTCTGTGTTACTGCACTACCGGTAATAATCACTACACAACAAATTTTCTCAATGCATTCAATCACTGCCATGTACAACATACGAAGTATATTTTTTCATATTTACTGTCATATTCAACAATATCTATAATAATAATCACTGCTCATATTAAATGCCAACAAACCCTAAATTTAGAAAATCCAAATTTCAAAAATAGAAAAGAGAATGGAGGGCCTAAGGTAGTATTAGCAGATCCAGAGCACACCATCTTCACGTACACTGCAGCGCCGCACTCATCCCAAAGCCTGTGTAACCTGTGTTCATGAAGCAACAGCCCACCAAGTTGTACAGAGGAGTGCGGTAGCGTCACTGGGGGAAATGGGTCACTAAGATCCGGCTGCCCAAGAACCATGCCCGGCTCTGGATGGGATACTTCCAGACGGCGGAGGAAGCCGCCATGGCCTACGACGAGGCGGCTGAACTTCCCTGACCTTCGTAAAAACGGCGGCGATTTGGAAGAGTACAAGCCGCTTCATTCCTCGGTGGACGCAAGCTGCAAGCCGTTTGCAAGAATATGGCTGAGGGAAAAGGCAACGACTCCAAAAAGGTAAAGAGATCTTCATCCAAACTGTTGGAGTTAACCTTGTTGTTTATTATTTCATTGTGTTTAATTTAGTTTATTTTGAGTCATTGATGCATTTTAGACTAGGGTGTGAGTGCACGGCGGGATGAGTCATGCCAAGTAGTGTGCGTCACGTGGTACCGTGCATATGTTGTAACGGCACTGATGTGCGCGTGTGCCGTTGCAATAGTGTTAGTCTAAGTTGGGTCAATTAGTCAAGTTGCACATTAGATTATTTGCATTTAATATTAGATTATATTATTAGTTAGACTTGCATGCAACCACCTCTATGTACGTTTAGTGCATTGTGGAGTGAGTGGGTCGTGCGGTAACTGTTGCATTTGTACGTGCATGGCCTGGGAGGTTTTACCTTGCTTATAAATTATGTGAATGAAACTATGCGTGGGTGAGTTACACTCTCCCTGGCAATTCTTATATTATTTCTTAAAGCATTAACCGACACCTCAAAAAGGCTACGCATGCATGTTTTTCTTCTATGCTTTAATTACTAAAGCTACGTATGAATTAATTGTCCTAAGCATTTCCAACATTTGGTATCAGAGCCATGGTAGGCGAAGGTTCACGCACTCCTTCACGCTCACCGGTACGACGTGGGCGGAGTCCGACGCGGAGAGGCGGCCACGAGGTGGTGGTGCAGCAGCGCGTCGTCCACCAGGCCAGCAGCACTGTCGTCTATCCGACGTTGACGGCGACGAACTACTTCGAGTGGGCGCTTATCATGAAGGTGAACATGGAGGCCCAAAGTGTGTGGGACGTCGTTGAGGGTGGCGGGAGCTTCACCGAGGATACTTGCGGTAATTCTGCGAGCCGTAGCACCGGAGATGCACTCCACGCTTGCCGTGAAGGCAATGACAAAGGAGGCATGGGATGCCATCAAATCCATGCGTGTGGGCGATGAGCGTGTCCGTGAGGTCAAGGCACAAACTCTACTCAAGGAATTTGATGTCGTTCGCATACAGAGCGGCGAGACGATCGATGAGCTTGCCATGCGCATGAATGGGCTCGCCAACAAGATTCGCACCCTCGGCGAGACCCTCGAGGAGGTGAAGGTCGTGAAGGTAATGTCCCTGGAGGTATATATTTTTTGATTCGTGAGATCAGAAACTTTGTAAGCCTTTTGCCCCGTAGGATAGCCTACAAAAATGCAGGGGTTCCCTCTAGCACCAAATTTGTCCTTTTATTATCACGTGCATAGGCTAAACAACCAAAAACCCGAATATGCCGATAATCAGGGCGTCGTTCGAGAAGTAATTCATATGGGGTCTTATTTTGAATAACGGGAGAAGGGAGATGATTAATGATGTAAACCGCCGTTAGAACGCACTCTCCCCAAAATTCAATAGGCAAACCTGATTGGAATCACAGGGCTCTGGCTACCTCCAGGATATGACGGTGCTTACGATCCACAACTCCATTTTGTTGTGGGGTGTCCGTGCACGATATTTCCAAAACAATTCCATGAGTGCTAGAATAATCAAGTAAAACGTGTGATTGAAATTCAACACCATTGTCAGTGCGGATGCGTTTGACAGGGCTACCAAATTGAGTGCTAATCATATTGCAAAAATGCATCAAAATATGAGGAACATCGATTTAGCATTCATAAGATAAACTCAAACACTGCGAGTATAGTCATCAACAATGGTGAGAAAATATCGTTCACCTGTAAAGGAAGGGCAATTGTATCCTCCCCAAATATCACAATGGATTAAGTCAAAATTTTGTTGAGTTTTAATACAACCAGTAGGAAAAGGAATACGAGTTTGTTTCGATCGAACACATGAATCACAAAAGGAGATAGGCCTTTTGAAATCCTGAAAAATGTGCCGAATTTTCTCATCAGATGCATGTCCAAGACGTTGATGCCAAACTTCAAAATTTGGAGAAACTGTCATTGCCTCCCGCTCGCCAATGTGATCCTCCAGATAGTACAACCCATTTCGGCACCTAGCCACCTCAATCAGCTTCCTCGAGGGTAAGTCCTGGATCACACAAAAATTCTCAAAAAATGTAAGTATACAATTATGCTCCTTAGCAAGCCGATTGGCAGATGATAAATTGCAATGAAATGAAGGAATAAAAAGAACTCGGGTAAGTGTCAACCCATTGGGTAAATTAACACTACCAACAGAATGAACGGGCACGGCTTCACCGTTTGGTATTTGAACTGGAGACTCGGACGAATTCCGCATAACATTCGCCAACATGGTATTTTCACAAGTAATATGCTCCGATGCTCCTGAATCAATAATCCAAGATGATGCAGTCCATGTGTTACCTGCCATATTAACCTGCGAATTGGATGGCTGCTCGATCACATTTCCTGGAGACTGGAAATCGGATTGCATCAAATGTGCAAGTCGGCTGAGCTGTTCCGCAGAAAATCAATAGGTGGGGCTGGTCAAAGAGTCAACGTTGGCTGCTCTGGAGGACCACCTTTTCTTTGTGAACTTGTTCGTTCATTGGTCTGCACGTGGTTCCACTCTCCTACTTTCTTGATGCTTAATTTCTTTGCCACGTACGTTCCAATGCGCCGGATACCCAACTATTTCAAAACAATTCTCATAAATGTGCAAATTGGGGTCACGGAAATGGACGCCATTTCATCCCATATACGCCTTAGACGACTGAAATATGCTGATACGGACTGGCCGTCGTCCTGCCGCACCGCCACAAGGGTTGACGTAATTCATATGCACGGGGTGCACTTTCCTTGCCGAATCTTTCATCCAGATCCGTCCATATCTCTCTAGCAGTCTTCAATTTAACGCTTTGTCTAAGTTCAAGCTCCACGCTACTGTTGAGCCATGCCTTTACTATCGCATTAGCTCGTTTCCAATATGGTAAGTAAGGGGAATTCGCCGCCGGCATCGGTATATCGCCATTGACGAATCCAAACTTGTTTTTGGCGTACAGAGTAATAAAATTATTATAGGCTTAGTATTGTACTTTACATTAAACTCTCTCTAATATAAATATATCTGTCAGGGCTCCTCAGGGAGCAATCTTTTCCATTATTTCACATGGTATCAGAGCCCTAATTTTTTCCTCTCTCTCTTCCCTAATCCCTAATTTTTTTTTTCCGCTACACGGCTTCCGCAGCCAAAGCGCCGCCGCCGTCCCCTGGCATCGCTTCTGCTCCCACCACGGGCCTGGGTCCAAGCGGTGTAACTCCTTCAACAATCGCATCTCCTAGCGGTTATCTCCGGCCGCCACTCCGACGTCTTCGTCTGCGACGCCTCCTACCGCATCTACTCCTACTCAGTCCCCTCCAGTCACCGCGTCACCACAGTCCTCTCCACCGGATCCATGGCATTCTCCACAGTGGCTCCAACTTCTTTGACCATGGCGCCGGTCACATCAGCCGCCACCGACGCAGCCGCAGTCATCACCAGCGCCGCCACTCCTCTGACCGCGCCGCCGCAGGTGAATCCGCCGCCAGCCTCTTCTTCCTTCATCGCTGACATTCCCGGTACCTACTCACTGTTTCAGACTCTTCATCCGGGAATTCCGTGGCAGCCATCTGCCATGCCAGCGGCCGCAGGCCTCTACATGCCACCCTTCTCGGCTGGATCCTCGTTTGCCGGTCCCACTTTTGTTGGCTCACCTGGTGTCTCCTCTGTCATCCCTCCCTCTCGCCCAGACTAGCAGCCACTTTTGTTGGCACACTAGCAGCCACCCCGACTGGCTCACTCCTCACAGATCTCGCCCAGAGTACTCCTCACAAAGATTGTAACTACCAAATTATTAGCGGTGGAAGACTACACTACCTGGCGTACACAGTTCGAATCGTTTTTGGTGTCCCAAGCTCTCCTTGGCATGGTTGATGGCTCCATTCAGGTACCTCCTGCTTATTCCATAGATGCTCTTAACCGTCAAACTCACAATCCCGAATTTTCTACTTGGTTAAGAATTGATCAAACCATCCGTTCATGGTTATTTGCAACCCTATCTAGGGATGTTCTTATCAATGTACGTGATTTAAAACATTCATATGAAATTTGGGAGCGGTTGGAGTCTCGATTTATGTCTGCTAGTTTAGCGAGATCTATGGAATTAAAGCGTTTATTTAATCAAATTAAAAAGAAACCTGATCAGTCCATGGATAATTATTTGCGAGAAATTAAAACATTAGCTGATGATCTTGCCACAATCAATTGCCCTGTGCCTCAGCGTGAAATTTTAAAAACTACTATTATGGGTCTAGGACCTGAGTATGAATCTTTATACACTGCTGTGTCCTTATTTGGACAAAATTTCCCGTTTGAGACTCTCCGTAATCATCTTCTTGAGTTAGAGCAGCGGGTCCTTTATCTCCGCTCCCAGGAGTCCCAGTCCATTCATCAGGCGTTTGGCGCGGCTGTTTCATATCCCAGGCAGTCGTCTGGGCAGCAGCCAACCCAGCAGAATTCAGGATCCACTCACCCGGTCGGGCAGCAGACTTACCCGGTCGGGCAGGCTCGGCAGAACGGCGCTCCACAACGCGGGCGAGGACGTGGGCGCGGTAGAGGCCGCGGAGGCAGGGGGCGTGGACGAGGACAGCAGCAGGCATATTGGTTTCCCCAGGGGCATCCAGTTTATTACCCCGGAGGGGGTGGGCAGCCGAGTACTCCTGCAGGGGGTGTGACATCTACGGGTACTGTTATTTTTAATTCTGCTGTGTCACATTTAAATATTAATGCTTTACCTATCTGTGTCACTAACAGTAGTCATACAGGCTTGCCATCAGACGGAGGTATTCTCGGATCTGTTCCCCATCCTGTTGTCTGTCAAATTTGTTTTTCTACAGTTCATTCTGCCATTAACTGTCCTTCTCGTTTCACACAACCGACGTCTCCTGCTCTGTTGACTACTCCCGGTGACACTACTCCTGCTCTATGGTTTCCTGATTCAGGAGCTTCTGCTCATATGACTGCATCTGAAGGTAATTTAGTTAATAAATCTCCCTACACCGGCTATAATTCTGTTAGTGTTGCTAATGGTGCCCATCTTCCCATATGTAATATTGGTGATGTTGCTTTACCTACATCTGGTCGTTCTCTCACTTTAAAATCTGTTTATCATGTGCCTCAGTTAAAATATAATTTAATTTCCATTAAAAGGCTCTGTGCTGATAATAATTGTACTGTAATTTTTGATAAAAATTCTTTCTTGGTTAAGGACAAAGCAACGGGGGCAATACTTCTGCGAGCTACTAGTAGTGGACCACTTTATCCTCTCCATCTGTCGTCTGCATCACCATTAGTTTTTGCTTCCGTTTTAGCTTCTGGCCCTGTGTGGCACCGTAGATTAGGTCACTGTGGTGATAGTACTTTACAGTTTCTTAAGAGAAAATAATTTTTATGTAATCATACTCCCTTTACTCATGAGTGTGTGGCCTGTCGTTTAGGAAAATCACAACGTTTACCTTTTATGGATGCTAGTCATAATTCTATTTTTCCTTTGGAGATTATTCATTCTGATGTGTGGCAGTCACCTGTGTATTCAAATTTGGGATTCAAGTATTATGTATGTTTCATTGATGATTTTTCTCGTTATACTTGGATATATCCCATGTGTCACAAAAATGAAGTTTTCATGCACTTTAAAAATTTTAAAGCTTTGGTTGAAAATCTTTTTAATCAGAAAATTAAAATTTTTCAAAGTGATGGGGGAGGTGAATTTGTTAATAATAATATGCAGCAATTTTTCTCTGCTAATGGCATTTACTTTAGAAAATCTTGCCCTGACACACCTCAACAGAATGGGGTTACTGAGCGCAAGCATCGTCATTTACTTGAGTTAACTAGGACCATGCTTCTTGAAGTTTCGGTTCCGAGTCACTATTGGGTCGATGCCATATTTACTGCTGCATATATTATTAATAGATTACCCTCTCCTACCTTAAATGGTCTTACTCCGTATCAAAAACTGTTTAACCGAGTTCCAGATTACTCCTTTATGCGAGTATTTGGTTCTGCCTGTTATCCAAATTTCAATGCCACCTCAGCCAATAAATTATCACCTCGTTCAGTTCAGTGTGTTTTCCTTGGCTATGCATCCGGTTATAAAGGCTATCGTTGTTTGGATCCTTTCACAGGTCGAGTCTATGTTAGCCGTCATGTTAGGTTTCATGAGGACACATATCCTTTTAAAACTCTCTCGTCTGCTCCATCCAGGTCTATTTCTACTACACCATCTCCTATGCATCTCACCGATATCACTCTTGACCCACCACTCCAGCCTGTTCCCACAATTACGGCCGCACCAGCACCAACCCCATCCTCGCCACCTCGGTCACCAAGTATTCCTATCACTCCGAGTGTACCGTCGCCCCATTCCTCCTATCCCACGTCCACAATCAGCCCCCCACCATCCCATCTCTCCTCGCATACTTCGTCTAGCACGCCATAGACAACATCAACCGACACTGTCTCATCTGAAACCACCTCACCTACGTCCACTACGGTAGTTAATCACCATCCCATGCAAACCCGTGCTAAGTCAGGAATTTTTAAGCCTAAAACCATTTTTAATTTAAGTACAGTTACTATCAATGCAGATCCTACATGTTTTACTGAGGCAAATAAACAATTAAAATGGCGTGAGGCGATGGCTGATGAATTTAATGCACTCATTAATAATAATACGTGGGACTTGGTGCCCTTTGATAACTCTAAAAATATTGTTGGTTGTAAGTGGATTTATAAAACTAAATATCATTCTGATGGATCCTTAGAGCGCCATAAAGCTCGATTAGTTGCACAGGGTATTAATCAGCAGGCAGGTATTGATTTCTCTGAAACTTTTAGTCCTGTCGTTAAACCCACCACTGTTCGTATTGTACTTACTCTAGCTATTTCTTTTGGGTGGGGAATACGACAACTTGATGTTAAAAATGCCTTCTTACATGGGAATCTGACAGAAGAAGTTTATATGCGGCAGCCCCGTGATTTTATTCACCCTCACTTTCCTAATCATATATGTCGTCTGCGGAAGGCCATTTATGGCCTTAAGCAAGCTCCACGAGCCTGGTTTCATAGATTTAGTAGCTTTCTTCTACAACATAATTTTTCTTGTAGCAAATCCGACAATTCTTTGTTCATATACCGCCAGAATAATACTATTATTTATTTATTATTATATGTTGATGATATTATTATTACTGGCAATTCTGATTTCTCTGTTACCCAATTTATTTCAATTATATCTAAACATTTTGCTATGAAAGACTTGGGTAATCTCCATTATTTTCTGGGTGTTGAGGCCATTCGTTCAGCTAAAGGTTTGTTTCTCTCTCAACATAAATATGTTACTGACCTTCTAGCTCGTTTTCACCTTCATACTGTCAAACATGTTCGCACCCCGTTAGCTTCCCGTACCACTCTGTCTCTTTCTGATGGTGAGCTATTATCTGATTCTACTGAGTATCGCAGCATGGTTGGTGCATTACAATATTTAACTTTGACACGGCCAGATATTACTTATGCAGTACACTTAGTGTCTCAGTTCATGCATGCTCCTCGTACCACTCATCTTTTTGCAGTCAAAAGAATTTTCAGATACTTGCAGAGAACGCAAGATCATGGACTTTGGCTTCAGCAGTCTAATCGGCCAACCTGTATAGTTGCTTACTCCGATGCAGATTGGGCAGGTTGTCCTGATAGTTCTCGGTCTACCACAGGTTTTGCTGTATTTTTGGGCCCTAATTTGGTTTCCTGGAAGGCTAAGAAGCAGCCCACTGTGTCCAAGTCCTCCACAGAAGCGGAATATCGTGCCATTGCTTACACAGTACAAGACACACTACATATCCGCTCAGTCCTGTTCGAACTTGGATGGCCTATCTCCGAGCCGATACATTTATTATGTGATAATATATTTGCTTCTTACTTGATTGCAAATCCAGTTCAGCATGCTCGCAGTAAACATATTCAGATTGATTATCATTTTGTTCGCGAACGGGTTGCTCATGGAGATCTGATTGTTCAACATGTTCCTACTCATCTACAGCTGGCAGATATTTTTACTAAAAGTCTATCTAGTCAACGTTTTCATTTTTTGAAAGACAACCTGTGCGTTGTATCTCCCGCACAGTTTGAGGGGATGTAATAGAATTATTATAGGCTTAGTATTGTACTTTACATTAAACTCTCTCTAATATAAATATATCTGCCAGGGCTCCTCAGGGAGCAACCTTTTCCATTATTTCACACAGAGCATTGCTCATCTCATCGAGCCAATCTCCATAATTGTTATCGCGAAGAAGAGAGGTGACAAAAACATCGCCGGGTTTATCACCGGACTGAATATAGTATGGTGACATGCACTCAATGGTCAAGGTTTGACCGCCACCACTTTCTTCATCTCCAACAGCCATCACGATGGACCGTCCGGCTATGTCGAAAAACTAAAACCAGGCTTTGGGCTCTGATACCATATTAAAATATTTAGTGAATGAAATTATCAAACTGAGAGTAAAGGTAAGGAGAAACATTATGTATATTATTATTGCTTGCCATGGTCACGAACGACCGAGGTTAAATATGCAGGAGTACATGCGTTATTATGGAAAGGCAATATTACATATGCTAGAATAGGAATGAAATAGTTATTATATAACTATTATGGAGATGTTACGTATCATGCATGATGCTTAACTAAAATAAAAAAAATGGTCCATTGGCTTGTTTGGTAAATTAAAACCATGAAAGCATGATTGCGACTGGATTGTCATTCTGGACTTTAATAAAAATAATCATATCACTCCGCTACAACCAGAAAGATATATATGTTGTTATTAATAAATAACAATCATAAATATTCAAAAAATAAAATAAAAATAATAACAACAACAATAAAAAAATATTGATAATATGACACGAATCTTTCTGATTTGATTTGATTTGAATTTTATGATCTGAATAAAATAAGAATAAATCGTAAGTGATGGATAATATGGTATCCAATCTATATAATTTAATTTAGAGAGATTGAGCTATGGAGTGAAGAAGATGATGAATAGTAGTATTGGAGGTATAATACTGGTTCTATGGAATTATAGGTTTACAAGACATCCTGATAAGTCCGTATTTAGACACGCATTTGATGCATGTTTAGATCGACTTTTGATGGTTTCCCTAATTATTTTGTCAGGTCTCATTTTTAGCTCAAGTCATAGTTACCGGGTGGTGGTTCGAGTTTTGTATTGTTTGGAGTCAAAATCAAGGAATTAAAATTCGACACCGCTGCTTGAGAAGAAATTCGGATGAGTCAAGATGAATTCGAGAGAGATTTGAGATATTTGAAGGTCACCGGGAGGTTTACGATGAAGTTTTGACGATAAAAGAGCTCCAGAATTGACTACGGAATCAAAAGAAGACGAATAGAGCTTGAAAACGGCGTTCAGGATGACCTTCTGTCAATCATTCAAGCATATCTTTT